AACACCTTCTTCTGTAGTTCCCTTGTTTAGAGAATATTCAGACCATCTTTCTACATCAGGCTGTTACAAGGTTTTTTGCTCTTGTGGTAAGGTATATGTGGGGTAGACCTGCCGACCCATTCACAAGAGACTAGGCGAACACAAAACTGCTTTTAAAGGTGAGTAAGACGAAAAATTTGAGCTCTTTAACACATTTTGCTTATTCAGGACACTCAATAGACTGGTCCAAAACACAACGTTTTGCGGGTTACGGGGACTTGACGTCAAAGCGTAAGATTAGCGAGTCTATAGAAATGAACAAAACAGCCAACGTCCTGAATAGGAGGAACGAGTGTAGATAACTAAGTTAGAACTTTTTGTGGCTTTCGGATAGACTAAGCAAAAAAAGGAGGCTGGATAAGCCTCGAGTTTAGCTTGGAATGTTACACTTCCCATGACATGAGCATTACATACACACAATAGACAATAGCACAAGCCCAAACATAATTCAGCATTACAAGATCGTACAATGGTTTATTTGTGTAAGGAAAAGATGCCACTAAGCGTACTTGCGACTCGAGAAGTAATTCACTAGTTTTCAAGCATGTAGAACTAGGTGGAAGTAATATGAGAGGTATTCACCCTATTTCGTTTAAGGTGATGAAGGAATGGTAGTAGAATTTTCTCACAATGATATGAGTAGAGCTGACGTTTCCACTGAATTTCACCGATAATCCCACCAAAGAATATGATATGGCAAAAAGCCTGACCTTCCTTGAAATTCACTTATGCCCTGTGACCGAAAGGCACTCGTGTCAATATGGTCGAGTGGTTAACGTGTCAAGCTGCGATTCTGCACTGTCACGGTTCGAATCCCGCTGAGGGTGTTGATAAGACTACTTGCAGTCCACCCTGAATTAGAACAACTTTTGGGAAAGCAAGGCTATGTGAAATTCAATGAAAACGTCAGCTCTACTCATATCATTGGCGGAAAATTCTACCTTAAACGGAATAGGGTCATATTACTGATTTACTGGTAGTCTCGAAACTCTACTCCAATACGAAAATAAGGTTAAAGTAGCCAACTAAATAATGGGATGCCTCATTAAGATTGTGATTTTGGGTGCATAAAAACCGACTAGGGTTGCAGCCGGACACCTTCTTCTCTTGGTTGAGCATATTTTTGCTATATTTCGTAAAGTATAGTTTCTTGCTCTGATGATGTCTGTAACAGTACAGACGAAAGCTTAGCTCAGTTTCATCAGGTTCACAAGACGGTGAGCCGTTAACTTCTTCGCACAATTCAACAGTCTTCCTTACGCTACAATCTTTCTTCGGTTTTCGGTGCGACCACATCACGAATTCCTTCTAACCAACTTTCCCTTCGAAATGAAAAGTCATGTCAGAAAAATAGAAGAAACTAGTGAAGACAACAGATGAGGGGATACATTGAACATAAGTAAAGCTTTTGAAATTCATGTTAGTTTGCTTAGGTCTCACACATTATGGACATCTGATTACAAACATAAATTTTATTAACTAACCCGAATAATGGTATGGTTTTACGCTACTTTATTGTGCTTTTTTATGAACCCTAATGATCCAGAATAGGCCGTCATTCCTTGAAATGCCAAACGACCAATGATGGATATTCATCAATATTCAATATTAACGGTGGTTTTGACATTAATAAATTATGTGAGATGTATCCACCGTATTTCGTTGAAGGTGGTAAGGGACTAGCAGTTAAACTTTCCCACAATGATATGAGTAGAGCTTGAGCTTCCATTAAATTTCACATAACCTTGCTTTCCTAAAAGGCGTTCTCATTCGGGTGGGAGTTCAGTTTCTACCTTGCCAGAACTGGTCTCATAATTACCCTTAGCAGGACTCGAACCAAGACACTGAAGCGTATTATCTCGACATAGTTACCCCTAATCCACATAACTAATGTAATCAATTGCTATAGAAAATACAACTGTTACATCTACACTCCCATTACAGAATGTCGTATGAAAAAATGTCTGCTTGACCTACCTTAAAATTAACATCTGTTCTGTGATCCAAGAGAACTCATGGCAGAGTGGCGTTGTAATTGACGTGTCTTGATTACATTGGGCACTATCAGGGTTCGAGTCTCATTGGTGGTGTTGATGAAATCTAAGGGAGGTTGAAAGTGCCGTCCACTCCTACCTAAATGATAATACTTTTTGGCAAAGCAAGGCTATGCGAAATT